GCGCCCGCATGCGTCACCCACACCCATTTCGGCACACCCCTCACACGCTTCGTGGCTCCATAGGGAGCTCCACCGAAGGCCCCAGTGCCCGCGCCCGCATGCGTCACCCACACCCATTTCGTGCACTTTCGTGGCTCCATAGGGAGCTCCACCGAAGGCCCCAGTGCCGCCCGCATGCGTCAGCCACACCCATTTCGGCACACCCCTCACACGCTTCGTGGCTCCATAGGGAGCTCCACCGAAGGCCCCAGTGCCCGCGCCCGCATGCGTCAGCCACACCCATTCGGCACACCCCTCACACGTTTCGTGGCTCCATAGGGAGCTCCACCGAAGGCCCCAGTGCCCGCGCCCGCATGCGTCAGCCACACCCATTTCGGCACACCCCTCACACGTTTCGTGGCTCCATAGGGAGCTCCACCGAAGGCCCCAGTGCCCGCGCCCGCATGCGTCACCCACACCCATTTCGGCACACCCCTCACACGTTTCGTGGCTCCATAGGGAGCTCCACCGAAGGCCCCAGTGCCCGCGCCCGCATGCGTCACCCACACCCATTTCGGCACACCCCTCACACGTTTCGTGGCTCCATAGGGAGCTCCACCGAAGGCCCCAGTGCCCGCGCCCGCATGCGTCACCCACACCCATTTCGGCACACCCCTCACACGTTTCGTGGCTCCATAGGGAGCTCCACCGAAGGCCCCAGTGCCCGCGCCCGCATGCGTCACCCACACCCATTTCGGCACACCCCTCACACGTTTCGTGGCTCCATAGGGAGCTCCACCGAAGGCCCCAGTGCCCGCGCCCGCATGCGTCAGCCACACCCATTTCGGCACACCCCTCACACGTTTCGTGGCTCCATAGGGAGCTCCACCGAAGGCCCCAGTGCCCGCGCCCGCATGCGTCACAGCCACACCCATTTCGGCACACCCCTCACACGTTTCGTGGCCTCATGGGGAGCTCCACCGAAGGCCCAGTGCCCGCGCCCGCATGCGTCAGCCACACCCATTTCGGCACACCCCTCACACGTTTCGTGGCTCCATAGGGAGCTCCACCGAAGGCCCCAGTGCCCGCGCCCGCATGCGTCACCCACACCCATTTCGGCACACCCCTCGCACGTTTCGTGGCCCCGCTCCACCGAAGGCCCCAGTGCCCGCGCCGCAGCGTTTCGGCACACCCCTCACACGTTTCGTGGCACATCGGGAGCTCCACCGAAGGCCCCAGTGCCCGCGCCCGCATGCGTCAGCCACACACCCATTTCGGCACACCCCTCACACGTTTCGTGGCTCCCATAGGGAGCTCCACCGAAGGCCCCAGTGCCCGCGCCCGCATGCGTCAACCACACCCATTTCGGCACACCCCTCACACGTTTCGTGGCCCCATAGGGAGCTCCACCGAAGGCCCCAGTGCCCGCGCCCGCATGCGTCAGCCACACCCATTTCGGCACACCCCTCAAACGTTTCGTGGTCCCATAGGGAGCTCCACCGAAGGCCCCAGTGCCCGCGCCCGCATGCGTCAGCCACACCCATTTCGTCAACTCCCTCACACGTTTCGTGGCCCCATAGGGAGCTCCACCGAAGGCCCCAGTGCTGCCGCCCGCATGCGTCCCGCACACCCATCCCCTTCACACGTTTCTTGGCCCTATAGGGAGCCCCACCGAAATTGGTAGTGTCAACTGCGGTATTCACACCTGCACATGGTTGGGTCCTTCGTCAGGCTAATTCTCCCCCACGAGCCCACTGGACAAAATCGGCGCTTTCCGCTCTTGTCCGATCAAGTTTGTCAAAAACGGCAGTTTCGCTGGGGGCATCCTCAAGACATGGTGACGGAGGGGATTCCGAACCAACATCGTCTTGGAATCGCTTTTGAAAAAAAAGGCTCCAGGGAGGACCCAAAGATGCCCCGAAGAGACCCCCAAGAGAGCACCAGGAGTCCCCCAGACGGCGCTTGAGAGAGCCCCAACATAACCTTCAAACACGCCCAGAAAGCCGAAGAAGACCTCAGTAGCCCCCAAGATGACCACGACAGGCCCACAAGAGACCCCAGGATGCCCCAAGATAGCCCAAGACGGCCCCAACAGCCCTCAGGGTAGCCTCAAAAGATCGCCAGGACTTCCCCGTTTTCGACGTCCTATTCCTCGGGCTCATTACCGTCCTCCTTCGTCGTCGTCCTCCTCCTCCTCCTCCTCCTCCTCCTCCTCCTCCTCCTCCTCCTCCCCCTCCTCATCGTTCCTCCTCGTACTCGTCCCCCTCGATCTCTTCTTCCTCGTCCTTGTGCTTGTCTTCCTACTCGTTGTCCTCCTGCTCCCTCGCTGCCTTCCTGTCATCCACGCTGTCATCCTCGTCACCCGCCGCTTTGTCGTCGCCAGTATAATGTTTCCCCCAACGAGCCCAATGGACAACATCGGCGCTTCCAGTTCTTGTCCGATCAAGTTTGTATGTTATGTTCGTGCCGTACTGTGCGAGGCCTCTCCCCGAGTCCATCTCGATCCAGCCGTACTCCAGGTTGTTCGGCCCTTGAGGGCCCCTGCTCCAGAGAGGTCTTTGCTCTGGGTACCATGAACGAGTTTCAGCCCCCACTTGGCTTAGCCAGGAGGGGACCAGGCTATGAGCAACCATGGTATCGCTACTCACCGCCTGGGGCAAGGACCGAAGCCGAAGCCAGGCCAATGCCCCTGCTGGGCCAACATTCCTCGGGTACGTGAAATTAGCAAAGGAGCGACTCCGATGCCCCCGCCGGAGATCCTCGCGGGTTGACAGACACCTCAACCGAAGAGAAAGGCCCGTGCACAAAAATGCACGAATTGCCCACTCGGCATGCCAGCGGGCCCGGCGGCGATGAAAGACCCTCACAGCCGCCTCCCCTATGTGACCTTCCGGCCTTTCTTTCACTGGGTAGAGCGACCCCGTGGGTTGAGTACCACGGTTAGCCGCTCAGCCCCAGCCCTCGCGGCATAGGGTGACCGCGCCTCGGGGTAACGGCCCCCTGCAGGGAAGGAACGCCCTGCAGAACCGCGCCCCAAGATCTCGATCCAGCCAGTAAGGATTTGCTATGCCGGTGTTCGCTGGTAGTCGGACGGGGTCTCTCAAAGGTGGAGTCCGTTTTGGCCAGTTCTTGAGGCTCAGATCGGGGCGCACCATAATTGACGACCACACATCCCTCACGACCTTGGAATGTTGTGGGTCTGCCCGACTCTATGGAGACCCGACCGCATGGAGACCCGCATCAACCATATTGTGGTGTTGGGTCCTGATTTTGAAGAGACAGCGCCTCGCGTCCTCACTCCTCCCGCTGCCCCCTCCTCCCATCCCTGCCTCTGCCCTCCGCATGTCCATGTCGGCACATTCCTCACACGTTTCGTGGCCACTTTGGGGGCTCCACCGAAGGTCGCAGTGGCGCAGCCCGCATGCGTCCCCGCCACACGTTTCGGCACACCCTCACACATTTCGTGCCCCCCCCATACGGAGCGTCATCGAAGGTCCTGGTGGCGCAGCCCGCATGAGTCCCGCCACCCATGTCCGCACACCGTCACACGTCTCGTGGCCCCCATCGGGAGCTCCACCGAAGGCCACAGTGGCGCAGGCAGCACGCGTCCCCGCCACCAATTTCGGCACACCCTCACACGTCTCGTGGCCCCATACGGAGCTCCACCGAAGGTCCCAGTGGCGCAGCCCGCGTGAGTCCCCGCCACCAATTTCGGCACACCCTCACACGTTTCGTGGCCCCCCCATACAGAGCTTCATCGAAGGTCCCAGTGGCGCAGCCCGCATGAGTCCCCGCCACCCGCCACCCATGTCCGCACAACCTCACACGTTTCGTGGCCACCTGGGAAGCTGCACCGAAGGTCCCAGTGGCGCAGCCCGCGTGAGTCTCCGCCACAAATTTCGGCACACCCTCACACGTTTCGTGGCCACCTTGGGAGCTGCACCGAAGGTTCCAGTGGCGCAGCCCGCATGAGTCCCCGCCACCAATTTCGGCACACTTTCACACGTTGCGTGCGCCCCTCCCCATACGGAGCTTCATCGAAGGTCCCAGTGGCGTAGCCCGCATGAGTCCCCGCCACCCATGTCCGCACAGCCTCACACGTTTCGTGGCCACCTTGGGAGCTGCACCGAAGGTTCCAGTGGCGAAGCCCGCGTGAGTCTCCGCCACAAATTTCGGCAGACACACGTCTCATGGCCACCTTGGGAGCTCCACCGAAGGTCGCAGTGGCGCAGCCCGCATGCGTCCCCGCCACACATTTCGGCACATCCTCACACGTCTTGTGGCCCCCCCTACGGAGCGTCATCGAAGGTCCCAGTGGCGCAGCCCGCATGAGTCCCGCCACCCATGTCCGCACACCTTCGCACGTCTCGTGGCCCCGTAGGGAGCTCCACCGAAGGTCCCAGTGGCGCAGCCCGCAAGTGTCCCTACCACCAATTTCGGCACATCCTCACTAGTCTCGTGGCCCCATACGGAGCTCCATCGAAGGCGAAGGTCGCAGTGGCGCAGCCCGCATGCGTCCCCGCCACCCATGTCCGCACACCCTCGCACGTTTCGCGGCCCCCCCATACGGAGCTTCATCGAAGGTCCTGGTGGCGCAGCCTGCATGAGTCCCCGCCACCCGCCACCCATGTCCGCACACCCTCACACGTTTCGCGGCCACCTTGGGAGCTGCACCGAAGGTCCCAGTGGTTCAGCCCGCATGCGTCCCCGCCACCCGTTTTGGCACGCCCCTCACACGTGTCGTAATTCCGTAAGGACCTCCACCGAAGGTCCTCGAGGCGCAGTTCGCATACGCCCCCCCGCCCCAATTCAGCACCCCCTCGCATGGTTCGTGGCCCCATGGGGAGCGCCGCCGAAGACCATATTCACAATTGTGGTATTCACAATTGCATTTGGCTGGGCGCTTCGCCAAGATAATTTGCTTAATCCAGGACGGTGTACATCTTTTCACCTTGTCGATTGCCAACAGCATCACATCACGTGTTTATCCTCGAATCGTTACCCTCACGCCCAAGCCACAGGTGGAGGAGGCTGTCGTCGTGCTCAGGGCGGCGGAGGAGACACCGGTCACCTCCCGCGGGAGAGACTAGCACCTCCTCGTCTTCTTTTGAGCCCCGCGGGCAAGCTTTAGGGCACCGCAAAGACACGTTGACGTAGGCATTATCCCAGTCGCCCTAAGCGCCCCCCCCCCCCCCGCAGAATGACCCCAACTGACTCGCGTGCCGTGCCCCCAGAAAATTCGTATCGTATGACGATTCTCGCCTCGATTTTATGGGGGGCTCACGAGGCTTGCCCGGGCCGTCTCGGGTTTGTCCTGGGCTCCCGTAAGACCCGGGTCGTCTCCCGTAAGATCACCGCTCGGGGGCCTTTGTGGGCCGTCTTGGGGCTGTCTCGAGCCGTTTGGGTGACAGCTTAGGCCGTCTTGGGCCCGTCTCGCTCGTTTGGGGGTCTTTTGATTGTGCCTTCCCCCCTCCCTGCCTGCCTGCAAGGGCAGACCCTGGTCTGCCCCCTTGCAGGACGCGCGGTGCGGGCGACGCCGCGAGGCAGAACAGAGTTGGCCTTCGCGCGGTTGCGCGCTTCCCTCTGCATTATTGGTGCTCACGTGTCAAGTGTCACCACGGCGTTCTAATATTGCAGGATGGGGCAGATCGTTTCATGGTCGGTTTTTTTTATGAACGCAGGTATCGTCGTTGTCCAGAAGGCTGCTCAGATGTTCCAGAGGCTGAGCCCAGTGCTGCCAGGCGGGGCCGCACCACCGTATTGAGCTACCTTATTTGGTTTAGGTTTATTCGGCGTGTGTCTGCTCGATGTACGGTAACTTCGAAATGTTTAGACAATTCGCCAAACCGAAGAGGACCCCCTCCGCTAAATCTGCAGCAGCAGAAGTTGAGGAGGAGGAGGAGGAGGAGGAGGAGGAGTGCAGAGAAATGGCACCCTTGGCTTTGTCTGTGATTGCAATGGGAACGAACGAGCCAGACCTCCTGGTACAGGGTGTCTGGGAAATTGTGCGTTTGCTCCGTAGTCGTTTTGGTTGAGTTCAGCTTGCGGCTTGAATCGGTCCAAAGAAAACGTTGTTCAGTTTATCTCTTCATGGTAGCGCGGAGCCAGTTGGAATCCACGGCAAGCGGATGGATTGTTGGCACAGACGAAGGCTTCGAGGTTGTCGAGCCGTTCGTCGCATGGGAGTTCAAGGCAGCGCTCTGGATAAGCACCGGCCCGCTCGAGCAATGGCGACTAATAAGCAGTTGGCCGCTCATCTGCAGGCACTGACCGCCGAGGTCAGGAGGCTGAGCGAAGATAACGTATGTTTGAGGCTGGAGGCGCAGGGAGGCATCCAGGCAATCCCAGCGCTCGTGGACGCCGTGGCGAGGCTCGCGGACCGACCCGACTCGTCCCAGCCTGCGCGCCTGGTCGACACCGAAGGTGTCGGCAAGCCCTCGGTCTTCGACGGCGCCGAGACGAAGTACCGCGAGTGGACGGCCAAGTTCGAGTCGTTCGTGGTTGGCGTCTACGGCGAGAGGTTCCGGCAGGTGCTCGAGTGGAGTATCGACCGGAACGAGGCCATCGATCGTGGCATGTGGCAGCAGGCTTACGGACAGGCTTCAGACGACGAGATTGGGAATATCGACGAGATGGTGGCCCAAGTGTACAAGGCCATTCAGCAGCTTGTCACGGGCGAGCCATTCGACACCACCCAGAACGTCGAGAAAGGAAACGGCCTGGAGTGTTGGCGCAAGCGGAACTTGCTGAAACTGGTGCTGTCCCCCGGGCGCTGCAAGCTCGAGGAGCTGGCGTGCGCCCTGGAGAGGTGGGAGGAGGCCGCCAAGCACTACGAGTCTCGGAAGGACTACAGCGGCCACCGCGAGCGCTTCTCGAACAGCGCCAGGATGTCGGCCCTCGAGAGCTTGCTTCCGACCGAGCTCGAGGAGCACGTGCTGCTGAACCAGAGCCGGCTGAACGCATACGAGCTGCTGAGGCGGGAGATCGCATCCTACCCGGAGGCCCAGACAGGATCGCGTTTGCGAGACGCCCCGACCTTGAGCAAGCAGCAGCGAGGCCCGAACACCATCGAATTGGTGTTTTTGTTCACGCGCTGCAAGGCGGAGCCACAGGCTCGAAGGGCAAGGCCGATGGCAAAGGTTCCAAGGGTAAAGGCAAAGACGGGGGCAAGAATTGCAAAGGTCGTGGAGGTGCTGGCGCAGGTAAGGGGGCCGTGGACAACTCCCGCATCCCGCGCTGGAGCCGCGCCCGCACCGGGCACAAGAGCACGGACTGTTGGCGTCCAGCAGCCCCTCCCGAGGTCATCGCCCAGGCCAAGCAGCCTGCCAGGGGCAAGGCGAATGCCGGCAGGCATAAGGGCCGTGGGAAGGCAGCAGGATCGCTGGGCGTGGGCAACGGCGAGCAGGCGGACGAGCAGCTGGAGCCCGAGGAGGGCATGTTCTTCGAGCAGACTGCGAGGGGCCGTCTGCGTCTCGAGAAAGGCGGTCGACGAGAAGGGCTGGGTGAAACTCAGAAAGTGCGCCAGTGGATCTCCCTGAATACACTAGAAGGGGGGGGGGTCCAGAACCCCTCCCCCCCCCTCCCCCCCTTGAGGAGGGGCGGGGGGAGGGGGTTCCCGAACCCCCCCCCTCCCTTCCTTGAGGGGGGGTCCGGACCCCCCCCCTCTCTCCCTCGGCGCTGGAAAGGGGGGAGGGGGGGGGAAGGGGGGAGGGGGGGGGGTTCGGACCCCCCTCCCCCTCGTGTAGGGAGTACGGAGTTGGGAGTAGGGAGTGGTGAGTAGTGAGTAGTGAGTAAGTGCGTAATGAGTAGTGAGTATTGGGTAGTGAGTAGTAGTGAGTAGTGAGTATGAGTATGAGTAGTGGGTGGTGAGTGGCGAGTAGGGAGTAGGGAGTAGGGAGTGGGGAGTAGTGAGTAGTGAATAGTGAGTAAGTAGTGTGTTCTGATAAGTGAGTAGTGAGTGGCGAGTAGTGAGTTGTGAGTAGTGAGTAGCGACTAGTAAGTACTGAGTAGGGAGTAGGGAGTAATGAGTACTCGGTAGTGAGTAGTGGGTAGTGAGTAATGGGTGGCGAGTAGTGATTAGTGAGTAGTGAGTTGTGGGTGGTGCGTTTTGCGTAGTGAGTAGTGAGTAGTGAGTAGCGAGTAGTGAGTAGTGAGTAGTGAACAGTGAGTAGTAAGTAGTGAGTACTGACTAGTACGTAGTGCGTAGTGAGTAGTGAGTAGTGAGTAGTGATGAATAGTGAATAGAAAGTAGTGGGTGGTGGCAGTGGGTAGTGAGTAGGGAGTAGTGAGTAGTGAGTAGTGAGTAGAATGTAGTCAGTAGTGAGTAGTGGGTAGTGAGTAGTGAGTAACGAATAGGGAGTAGCGAGTAGTGAGTAGTGAGTAGTGAGTGCTGAGTGGGGAGTAGGGAATAGTGAGAAGTGAGTAGTAAGACGTGGGTAGCGAACGGTGGGTAGTGAGTAGCGATTGGTGAGTAGTGGGTAGTGAGTAGTGACTAGTGACTGCTGACTAGTGAGTTGTGATTAATGACTAGAGACTATGTAGTGACTAGTGAGTAGGGAGTAGTAGGTAGTGAGTAGTGAATAGTGGGTAGCGGGGAGTAAGTAGTGAGTATTGAATAGCGAGTATGGGAGTAGCGAGTAGCGAGTACTGAGTACTGTGTAGTCAGTATTGTGTAGGGCGCAGGGAGTAGCGAGTAGTGGGTAGTGAGTAGTGATTTGTGGGCAATGAGTAGTGAGTAGTGGATAGTGGGTAGTAGGTAATGAGTAGTGATTATTGAGTAGTGAATAGGGAGTAGTGAGTAGTGCTTAGTGAGTAGTGAGTCTTGAGTAGTGGGTAGTGAGGAGTGAATAGTGAGTAGGGAGGAGGGAGTAGTGAGTAGGGAGCAGTTGGCGTGTGCCGATGGCTTCGCACAGCCTTCGTAATTATTTTTCTTGGCAGCCCGATGAATGAGTTGATCCCTCTCCTTTTTCTTCGTTCGCCTCTGTCTCTTCCCTTTCTCGTCCTCTCGTCCCGTTCTCTTCTTCTCGTCTTCTCCCCTCTCTCCCTCTCTGCTTGCTGCTGTCGCTGCCGTCGTCCGCCGTCCTCCTCCTCTCCCTGGCTCCCTCCCCCCGTGCGGGTTCTGAGCGGTGCTCGGTCCGCAGGCGTTTTCTCGCCGGGCGCGTCCGGCGCTTCTCGCTCCTTCTCCTCCTCGCCCTCCTCCTGCCTGCTTGCCTGCCCCTTCTCCCCCTTCCCACCCTCCCTCGTTTGTTTCTGTCTTTGGCTTTTTCTTTCGTTCTCCCCGTCCTCCCTCCGGCAGTGCGCCGCCCGCCGGCCTGCTTAGCTGGCTCCGGCGGCCGCCGTCCCGCCATTTATCTTGTCTTGCCCCTGAAATTTGATGTTTGAATTGCCGAATGGTGCCGTGGTGTACTGCAGAGGTCCGATAGAACAAACAAAAAATTAGGCCCATGCTGTGAAATAACCTGGCGAAGCCACTCCAGAAGAGGGCGCGTTGGATCGTCACCCGCAGCAGTCCAAATCAGCGGAAAAAGTGCGAACGGCCATTGTTGTTCGCGACATACGTTTACATCCTTACATGGGATTTTTTGTTGCAGTTCGATTATCTGTTTGTCCCACATCGGATACGCTTACCATGACAAGCGAAATTAAGGTAAGGTGTGGTGTGCTTCTACTTGGGGTTCGCGCGCACACGCCAAGCATACAACGCTGATTGCAGTATGGAGGGAAGTCTTAGTGGAGGCGGTCGCAACGTCGAGCAGGTGCTGAACCAAATTCACATCATTATGCCGCCCGAAAACATGCGACACATTGACATATTAACACCGTGCCTCAATTTTGCCAGCGGGCTACCACTCTTCATCGATGTGACGGTTATTTCGCTGCACGGCAAGGTGCGAGCAAGTATGGGGGTAGCCGAAAGGGAGAACAACACACATTACACAGAGGTAATTACGAGTGGGCTGGGCTCTTGGCAATTATAAGTGCCGAAAAATATGGCCGATGGGATCAACGAGCTATCCGGTGCCAGTTTTAGCACGATCGCGGACGAGGAACACATTCGACGGGTATTTCCACTTGGATTTCATCATCGATGGTGGTGGTTACTTGGGGTGGACATGCCGTTCTGAACCAATTCGCTGATTTGCCCCACACGCAACAAGAGCCAGTGTGCTGGCTGGCTGATTTGGATATCGTTTGATCTGCTACCTCCTCCTCCTCCTCCTCCTCCTCCTCCTCCTCCTCCTCCTCCTCCTCCTCATTTACCGCTGCTTAGGACGATGGCAAATGCATTTTTGCGATTCACTCCGGCTCGGTTTGCGAATTTGGCGCTTGCGTAACCTAGTCCAATGCTGGAGCGTGGGGAAAAAAACGAGGCAACAAATGCGAATCCGCCGGCCCCCTTGCGGGGCCATCAGGCTGCGAGGATTAATGTTGCTGCTCCCTGCACTAGTTCCAACTTCCAGTTTCCATTGTTACAATGCTGCTTTCTGCTTCCTACTGTAAATTGTTACTGTCCGCGCGAGGGGGGGAGCCGAAAAGGGCCCTGGTCAGCGTCCCCTGAGAGGGTTCTCAAAATTTTGGGGGGGGCGTGGGACACGTAAAAATACTGGAGTTTCGTGCCCCCAAGCCATAATCCCTCGCAGATCACGCTGTATTCGCGCCCCCGAGGCAACGATCCCTCGTAAATTACGCCGCTGTCGCGTCTCCGAGGCCACGATCCCTTGTAATTTGCACCACGCTTGCGTCTCCGAGGCCAGGATCCCTTGTAAACTACTCCACATTCGCACCCTCAAGGCCACGATCCGTAGCAATTTTCTCCACGCTCGCGCCCCCGAAGCCACGACCCCATATAATTTACATAATTTTCGCGCCCCCGAGGCCACGATCCCTAAATTCGCGCCCCTGACGCCACGATCCCTTGTAATTTACGCAGCGGGCGCGCCACCGAGGCCACGAATCCGCCTGGCAGAGGTTGCCGAAAAAGCGCTCCTCCTCTCCGAAATAGAAAAGCGGAAATTTCTGTATTGGAAATGTGCTCCAGTGGTATTTTTTGCCCCCCCCCTCCGTTTCTGGAAACTTCGGCAGTGGGTTCCACATTCACCCCCCCAGGCCACGATCCTTCGTAAGTTACGCCACACTTGCGCCCCCGAGGCCACGATCCCGCGCGAATTGCGCCACACTCGCGCCCCCGAGGCAACGATCCCTCATAAATTACGCCGCTGTCTCACCCCCCAAGCCACGATCCCTTGTAAATTACGCCACGTTCGCGTCCCCGAGGCCACGATCTCCTGCAAATCACACCAAATTCGCGCGCACCCCCCACGCTACGAATCCACCTCGCGGAAGTTGCCCAAAGGCGCCACTCCTTCTCCAGAGCAGATAAAACAACCTTCCCAGAGATTGCCTGAAGCAATCCCCAGCCGTTCCCAGAGCGCTTCCAGTGAACAGCTGGAGGAAAATGCCAAGAAGGCAACAAAGCGTTCAACAAGTTCAACATCTCAATTTGTTTTGCTCATCGCAAGCCGCCCTAGCATGACGTTCCCGAGTGTCATCAAGACGGCGCCCGAGCATCCCAATATAGCTCTGATGTATCCCATTATGATAGAGAGAGGGGGCCGGCGGCAGGGGGCGAAGCCCTTACGGATATTTCAAATTATGTTTTGAAGGCAACCTGGTATTATAGTTATTTTGTGATGTGGCGGAAATCATTGCTCGCGCCACATATCCCCAACCATCACGGATGCGATGCGTAGGTCAGCCTTTACGCCATTAAAAAAAACGGATAACAAGGAACGGAAGATAGCAATAGCAGATACATTATGTAGATTGGCACCAAAAAAACTTTACGAGAATTTGTGAAACCCCATGAATTTGGCATTTCGGACCACACTGCCACTGATTCAGCTATACACCTGCTACATTATGCCGGGCGTGGTCTTACAAGCCCGGCTGTTCGATGTTTTTTGTTGTCTTTTTTTTTTGGTTTGCGTTGCCCCCGCTTCCGCTTCCAGATGCTTGGCGCCGCAGCTGCCTCAGGGCCGCGCCCAGCCGCCGCAGGCCCCGCCCCATCACAGCCAGCCCAGCCCCCACAAAGCTCCAGTCGTCCCCAGCGGGCGGGAGGTGCACGGGCAATCCGCGCTAGAAACCGTCCTGCGTCCCCAAGCAGGCCCCAAAGGCACCACTAGGAATTGAACCCAAGAAGGTCAGATTATGGGAAAAGACTCACCCCATTTCACTACAATGCCAACATTTACCACGCGTGCGCGTGTGCGTCAGTGTGTGTGTGTGTGTGTGTGTGTGTGTGTGTGTGTGTGTGTGTGTGTGTGTGTGTGTGTGTGTGTGTGTGTGTGTGTGTGTGTGTGTGTGTGTGTGTGTGTGTGTGTGTGTGTGTGTGTGTGTGTGTGTGTGTGTGTGTGTGTGTGTGTGTGTGTGTGTGTGTGTGTGTGTGTGTGTGTGTGTGTGTGTGTGTGTGTGTGTGTGTGGTGTGTGTGTGTGTGTGTGTTGTGTGTGTGTGTGTGTGTGTGTGTGGTGTGTGCGTGCGCGCGCGTGCGCGCGTGCGTGCGAGTGCGTGCGTGCGTGCGTGCGCGTGAGTGCGTGCGCGTGCGTG